TGTAGACATTGCCAAATAGTCCCTGGGAGCACCCAGTTGAGAACTACTGGCCTAGACCTAGAATAGAAACAGGAAGGGTAAAAAAGAGGTCTACAGTGGGGGTATAGGCACTGTATTATAAATACTGGCAGGATTCCCAAGGTTACCACTTGCCCCCTTCCCTCAGCCAGCAGAGGCAGAACAACAGTGTATAGAATATGTGAATAATGTCCCCTACAGTTGTTCAATGTGGTGGCCCTGAGGAAACTATGTACAAGCTCCCTCTCCCTGAGTATTCTGTGTATTCTGCCCCTTTCCCATTCCACTCTATCTTCCATACATATACACATGAGCAACTGCTGTAAATGATGTTGGGGGGGTATGTGATAGATGGTCCATTTATCAAACTAATTCCTAGGAAGCATACCATAGTCAGAAGTGACTAGGATAAAAACATCAGTTCTTCCACCATTACCTCTCCCTCTCAGAAAGATTGAGATGCAGGCTCTCACAGCACATGGGTTGAGATTCAGGCCAATTTCATTTGCATTTCAAAGGCCCTGCTTCACCATTCTCTGTATCTGTATTTAATTCCCCAAGCATTATATTTCTTTCCCTTGGCTTTCCTTCAGCCTTGTAGCTTTGATTAAGTATAACACAGGGGTGGAGGCACTGCTCTACACCAAGGATGGGAGTGTCCACCCCAGGCACAAGTATAAGGGGTGCATTTTTGCATTCTCTGTAGAAAATGTTGAAAACACTAAAACTTACTAAAAGTCAGTCTGCTCTTATTATCACCATTTACCAGCAATTCTAGAATTGTTTAGACATTAGTCTTCTCCCACCACCACCACCCCAAAATATTCTATTGTTCTATGTTCTAAACAATTATTGTGGCTATTGTTGTTTTAAGCATATATGTAATTTTTATATTTACAAGGTGGTGCAAAAGTAGGTTTACATTTGTGAGTATGCAAACTAAGGAGTTCATTCTTGTATTACTATTTATTATTATACTAGAGGCCTGGTGCATGGATTTGTGCACTGGTCGGGTCCTCAATGCACATCATAGCTACCAGTCGAATGGTTGAATGGTCACTTAGACTTTTATACTAGTATATATAGATTATATTCTATACTGTAAACCTGCTTTTGCCCCACCTATATA